AGAGGAAATATTTCATTGAAAAGTCAGTGTGAGCTTAAGAACTGACTTTTTCTTATGACACTTATTGGTAAGTAACATAACCCCCTTTAGTAAATACCACACACACAAAATTTCTTCTGTTTAAAAAGATTGTTAGAAACTAACAAATATGAAGACTTCTAGAGATGCAGAATAAAATATGCCAGTGCTGCTTAGAAAAAAGGGGTTAAGACATACCTGGTTATTTTGGTGTCAGCCCTCATGCATCACTTCATTAGTCTAAGGCAGGCTTGCTGTACTTGTCCTTAATATTGAGTTGTTTTATGATATTAGTAGCCTTGTCAAACCAGATAAGTTTAGAAGTTCTTATCCTTTTCAAAATTCCACTCAAATGATAGTAAGGGGAGAAAAAAATGTTTAAACCTGCAAGAGGCAAAAAATGGCAGTGGAGGCTTTGGTGGCAACTTCTGCAACGATTCAGGGGTAGTCCCCGGGCTGGCTGAGGGATAGACCCCTCCACCTGAAGTGCCCACTGAAATGCTGAAATGAGGTGCTTTGTCTGCAGAACCGCAGAGAGGCTTAGAAGTGGGAAGGCATTGTTACCATAGTAGGCCAGAGAGACAGGCCAAATATAGGGAGTTACTAAAACCAGCATAATTAGACCCTGCACCCTGTCCCTGCCTCCCTTCCCGACCCCAGTAGCAGCCTGGAGGTCTGTTCTCTGGAGAAATGGAACTGGAATGGTGTTGGGGTGTTGGTGGAGGTGACTAAAAGAGAGACTGATGACAGCTGGGAGCTTGGTCACTCTTCTGCTCTGTCCATAATGACAGCAACCAGGCGTGCGCAGCCCCAGCAATGAAGTGGAAGACTCTTTCCTTGAGAAATTGAACAAGTCCAGAAAAAAATGCCCCCAGATAACTGAAATGTGTGGGTTCTTCAGTGGAATACTTTTTTCTTTCACGTTAAAATTGACACTCATCAACTAATAAGTCCTCTCCACATGTGCAGAGCCACCAATCTGCTTTGGTCCTTCGTTCTTAAATAGGATCCGGCAGTCGCGGTGTATCAGGTGTATCACCAAAGTCTTCAATATGAAAGGTAGGGGCCAAAACAGGAAAAGAGCAACCTTGCAGAAGATGGTGCCGTTGCAGAAAGCAGAGAAAACATGTTTTTTGAAAAAAGTTATCCTTGCAGAGAGAAGCTGTTTCATATCCAAAATAATAATAACATGTATGAAAGAGGAACAATTAGAGAACAAGAAAGAGCTATTGAGTATTACAAATTAAATACCGGAATTTAAAACCTGTTGAAGATGTATCTCTCAAAAGTAGAACAAAAAAGATGGAGTTAAAAAACAGGAGAGAAAAGAAATATGAAAAATTAAAATCTGATTAAAAAAATTCAACATTGCTATTATAATAGATGCAGAAACCAAGAACAAAATAAAATAGTAATCTGAACATTATCACAGAAAGATTGCAAAAATATTTTAGAGAACTAAAGACATGAATTTCCAAATTGGAAGCATATATATATTATGTGCTTATGTTTTATGAAAGTGTCCACTTTGCCCAATTTTATAAAACCCCCACCTGGGTATGCCATTATGAAATTTCAGAACACCAGTGATAAAGAAAAGGTCCTAAAAGCTTTAAGAGGAACAGAAACAGGTCACACACAAAGGAAAGGGTACAATGATAGCTTCAGAATTCTTCAAAACATCCTTGGAACCTAAAAGATAATGAAGTTTGCAAAGCTTTAAAAAATAGCATGGAAATTATTTCTAACCTGGCTTCTATGTCCAGCTAGACCACCAATGAAAAGTAAGCATAGAATAGACATTTTTCAAAATACAAGGAGTCAAATATTTTTCTCCATTGAACTTTTTCTTAGAAAACTACTGGAAGTGTATTGTATCAGACCAATTGGGGAAACTAACAAAGAGGAAGACACGAAACCCGGAAAATAATATAGCACAAAAGAAAGAGAGCACTGAGACCCTAATATAGGGCAGGAGGAGGGAAGACTGTAAAAAAAAAGTCACCAAATGACCAAATTACCTGATATTTTGATCATCCGGAAATTAATACTGGTAAGCATCTAACAGATGTAATGTAGTTGAGGGAAAGATTTAAGGATAGGTATATGGAAAAGACAAGTAAAACAGTATTCAATCATTAACTCTAGAAAAGTAAAAATTTTATAAGAAAAGTTCGGTAAGACCATAGTATATAACTTTTTAGTGAGTATTTATATTGTCATAGTAATGTAAATAGTTGACTCTTGATTTTTTTATTGGTAGGTTAGCCAAGTGAGAGACTTGTATGTATGGTGTAGCATCCATCCTACGTAGAACCAATAAGTTAAGGAATCACAGGCAGGAATATTATTTAGCAAAAGGGAGGTAAGTATTAGAAGAAATAGCTAAAATTTGCAGTTTTTTCTGTTTTTTTTTTTCTTTTTTTTTTCCTGGGTGATGTGTTCAGGATCAGGGAAGGGAAGCTGAAGAATGTAGGTTTTTCACTTATATTGTTTTACTTTGATTAAAAAATAAATTATTTAAAAATACTAGTATAACTGAAAATGAAAGTTGACAATGAAATATGTGAAATTGGTGAGATAAGATAAATATTACAGATGAATGTACCTCTCTGAGTTGTTCCTATCTTTAAAATGGTAAATGATGGCATCTAAAATGTTTTAGATTTAAAAGAATTATCACCAAGCAAAACTGACAACACTATGCTAGTTGTAGGAAACTGAATATATTCAGGAAGCCCCAAGACAGAATAGAGAGGCAAAACAAGTAAAGATGTGCTAGAGACAAACAACGTAATTATTAAGGTTGTACAGATGGATAGATTTTGAATGTTATCCCTTAAAATGGAGACTACACCTAGCACCCATGAAGCATTGACAAACGTTATCCATATATTTGCTCACAAAGGGAAGCTCAATATATTTAAAAAGGAAGAAATGGTAGAGACTTCATTTTCTGACCACAATACAGGTAGAAATTAGCAACATTTACAAATAAAGACCCTCCAAACAAAAACAGCACAGAAACAAAATACTACATATGCAAAAACTTTCTCAAAATCAATTCTTGGGTCAAAGCAGAAATCAAAATCCCAAACAGAAACTACCTAGAAAATAGCAATAGAAACATTACTGAGGTAGAAACTGTTTGCTGCCTTTATAAAGTCCATTCTCCTCTCTCTTTTTACTAACTGAACATTGATTTTGTTGCATGTTGATGACCAGCTAAAGCACCTTATTTTCCAATCTCCCTTGCAGCTGGGGGTGGTCATATGATTAAGTTCTCACTAATAAGATATAAAGGATTACTGGTAGGTGGGGATTCCAGGAAAGCTATTTAAAAAGAAAGTTGAGTCACTTGGCCTAAGCCTTTGGCCTATGTGATGCTGGATCAACTATCTTGTAATCATAAGGGGTCTAATATATGTTGAAGAAGATGAGTGGAAAGATAGAAGGAGTGCTCCTTATCCCCGGTCTCTTTCAGCCCTGGACTTCCTATCTCTGGGGAAAAATTCCTGTCTTAAGCTGCTATGTGGGAGTCTATTAGTAGGAGCTGACATAATTTTTAAGTGACTTAGTTACAAATCACCATTTATGTGATTGAAGAATGAAAATAAACAAGTCAAGCAAGTCAAGGACTTAGAAATGGAACAACAAAATAAAACAAAGGAAAGTGGAAGGAAATAATAAAAATCAAACTAGAACTCAGTCAAGTTGAAAATTAAAGAAAAGCTTGATAAATCCAGGAGCTAGTTCTTTAGGGAAACAATCTTAAAAATACATACACAGATATATTCTACCAGTGTAATCAAGAAATAGAAGAAGAAAATACAACATTAGATAATAAAGAAATGAAATGATTTCTCCTACCCAAATTCTGCAAATAAATTTGAAAATTGGATGGAATAGATGATTTTCTTGGAAAATGTGCTAGTAGATTGACTCTAGAATAGAAAGAAAACTCAAAAAGTCTCTCAAAAGTGGAGGGAAAAAAAAGAGACAGCTGCTGTTTGTGACCAGTTGCTACTGCTCTTCCTGGAGTCCCTTTGCCGTTGCGGTTTTGCAGTGTTACAAGTGAATTTCTGGTGGGGAACCTCGGAGTGTGAGGCAGGGTGGCCATCCTGCTTGGTGAGCTGTCTGTAGTCATCTGACAAGGTTGGCCACACACCAGAAAGGCGATGGCGACTATTCTTGGCATCAGGACCCATCACAAAATACAGAGCCCTGAGTGTTCTTCATTTTTTAAATAACATTTTCCAGATCAATGTGCTATTGAACTTTTTTGGTAAGAAGAAAAGATTGAAAATGATTTATAATCATTTCATTTCACTGTCAGTCTCACAAACAACTGATTCCTCATGGTAAAAATGTTGGAAACATTATATTCAAATAGTAGTGTTAAAGATTTTGAAGCAAGATTGTGCATAAAAAAAGGCTGAAAGTAGTTTGAGAGGAAAATGAACCACAGAGTAACAAAGAAAAATGGTGAGCATCAGAATTCCTTAGCTTTTAATTATTTTCATGGAAAAGTACCTAACTCTCAAATGCTGGTAACTGGAACATCCTATTGGTTAAAAATAAACAGCATAGAGCTTCAGGAAACCAACTAAACTTAAAAAAAAAAGAAAAAAAGAAAAGAAAAGAAAAGGCAACCAGAACAGCCCAAAACAGAATAACAAAATCAGAATAACGAAGTTATGCCAAAGGTGTCAGGTCATTACACCGGTTGTCTGCCCTCAGGCCAGAGTTCAAGCCCAGTGTTGTCAAACTCAGTGGCCACGTGGGCTGAAGGGCATCCAGAAAGTCCTGCTTGGTCACCGGAGGGCTGCCCTTCAGCACTTGGTTCTGAGGTGTCTTTGCTGTTTAAAATGTCTTGTTTCCTTTGAACTTTGAAGTTTCCCCTTCCTAATTATTTCAATCTTCGTTTAAACAGATGTAATTCTAACCTAATGTCCTCTTTTTACCCCATCTCTCCCTGGTAGCTGGAACAGTGAACCATGGAGCTGTATTTCGGTGAATATCAACATGTGCAGCAGGAATATGGGGTCCATCTGAGACTCGCAAGTGATGATACCCAAAAATCGAGGAGTTCCCAGAACTCCAAGGCAGGCTCTTACGGTGTCAGTATTCGGGTCCAGGGAATTGATGGTCACCCTTACATTGTCCTGAATAACACAGAACGGTGCCTAGCAGGCACATCGTTTTCTGAAAATGGACCACCCTTTCCACCTCCAGTGATAAACAACCTGCCTCTACATTCCAGCAATGGTTCTGTGCTAAAGGAGAACAGTGAAGAACTGCAGCTTCCAGAAAACCCATACGCCCAGCCTAGCCCAGTAAGAAACCTGAAACAGCCCCCTCTCCATGAAGGCAAGAATGGAGTTCTAGATCGCAAAGATGGGTCCATGAAGCCATCTCACGTGCTGAACTTTCAGAGGCATCCAGAGCTTTTGCAGCCCTATGACCCTGAAAAGAACGAATTGAACTTACAAAATCACCAGCCTCCTGAGAGTAATTGGCTAAAAACGTTGACAGAAGAAGGCATCAATAATAAGAAGCCTTGGACTTGCTTTCCCAAACCTAGCAATTCCCAGCCTACCAGTCCCTCCTTGGAAGACCTGGCCAAATCTGGTGTGACAGCTATTCGTTTATGCAGCTCTGTGGTCATAGAGGACCCCAAAAAGCAGACCTCAGTGTGTGTCAACGTTCAGAGCTGCACCAAGGAGAGGGTGGGAGAGGAGGCCCCTTCCACTAGCGGGAGACCCCTGACTGTCCACAGCCCACATGCCCACCCCGAAACCAAGAAAACCAGGCCAGATGTTCTTCCCTTCCGGCGACAGGATTCAGCGGGACCCGTCCTGGATGGAGCTCGGTCCCGGAGGTCCTCCTCGTCATCGACAACTCCCACGTCTGCCAACTCTTTGTACAGGTTTTTACTGGATGATCAGGATTGTGCCATCCATGCCGACAACGTCAATCGTCATGAAAACAGAAGGTATATCCCCTTCCTGCCAGGAACTGGACGGGATATTGATACGGGATCAATTCCTGGTGTGGATCAGTTAATTGAAAAATTTGATCAAAAACCTGGGCTTCAGAGAAGAGGAAGGACTGGGAAGCGAAACAGAATTAATCCAGATGACAGGAAAAGATCCAGAAGCGTGGATAGCGCCTTTCCTTTTGGCCTCCAGGGGAACTCCGAGTACCTGACTGAATTCAGTAGGAACTTGGGCAAGTCAAACGAACACCTCCTCCGGCCTTCCCAGGTGTGCCCGCAGCGGCCACTGTCTCAGGAGCGCCGTGGGAAACAGAGCGTGGGCCGTACCTTTGCAAAGCTGCAGGGAGCAGCGCACGGGGCTCCATGTGCCCACTCCAGGCCTCCCCAGCAGAATATAGATGGGAAAGTTCTGGAAACCAAAGGTACTCAAGAAGGTACAGTGATCCGTGCGCCCTCCCTTGGTGCACAGAGTAAAAAGGAGGAGGAGGTGAAAACAGCCACTGCCACGCTGATGTTACAGAACCGGGCAGCAGCAACTTCGCCTGATTCTGGCCCCAAGAAAATTTCTGTGAAGACATTTCCTTCGGCCTCGAATACTCAGGTAACACTAGTGCAATTCCTGTTTTTTTTTTTTTTTTTTTTATTTCCTCTTCCTTCTAAATAATCTAATGATGTACTCATGGTGCATGAGGCCATAGGAATTACACATCCTCAATCTTGTATCAGGAATCACACAGCTGATCTGTTTCGTTATCCAATTGTGTCCTACTCACGATGTCCTACTGCCAATTGTATAGTTTTCTGGGTTCTTTGAAGTTCAGCTGGATTCCCATTGAGATCTCTCTGTAAAGTAACTTGGCAGACGCTATAGAGAGGCTCAGTTGTTCTGTTTGTGTATGCATGAAATCTGAAAGTATGCAGAATTTGTTTCTACACAGAGGCTGAATGGCTAGGTTTGTGTAGATATATTAATTTTCCTCATAAAATTGAGTGACTGGGTTAATTTCTAGCCTGAAAAATTAGGTTAATCTTCATTTAGGTTAATTATCAAGTGATAGAATCTAAGTGGTACATTTAGTGTTTTGATAGTAACAATAAAAAATAATGATATTGATAAAATGGTAAAAAAAAATGTAGCTAAGTGCTAAGCACTATTTGTTATATATTACAGGATTGCACCAACCCTGTGCAGGTAGTATCTATTAACCTCAATTTACAGGTGAGAACATTGAGGCGAGGAGAAGTTAAGTAACTTCCCCAAGATTATGAAGCTGGTAAATGTTGTAACTGCCTCTAAGGAGGATGCTCACTGGAGGAATTGTTTTGTGTTTGGAAGCCTCTGGTAACTTCATCCTCAAGGTCTAACAACAGGCTTTATGTTCCAGGCCACACCGGATCTCTTAAAGGGCCAACAAGAGCTCACTCAGCAAACCAATGAGGAGACAGCTAAGCAGATTCTCTACAATTACCTCAAAGAAGGGTTAGTGATTTTCCCTCTGAAAGAGCAAAGTATTGTTGTTTCTGGTGGGACTCTTAATTTCCTTTTCTGAGGGCTTAATGTTTACCTTCCTTTTTTGCCCTGTGCCAGCCGTTGGAGGGTTAAAACTCAATGGCTGGGGTTTTCATGATGGCATTTGTCTTGTGTGGTATGGGGTGGGGGTTTTGGGAGGGGTGTGTAGGAAAGTACACCACACTTTAAAAATTAAAATGAATACATTTTAAAAATGACTCTTTACTATTTCAAAAGCAAATTCAAAGATAGGAAGAGTGTCTACTCTTCAGGTTTGAATGGAGTCTGCCGTCACCTTGAGTTCTTCCACGCAATGTTAGTCCTTTAGAAGTTACAAATACAAACACCTCCCCTCCCCAGAGTTAACATTGGCCAAGAGCCCCTGCTTCCATTATTTTTAAAGCATGTGTGAGTCATTTAAAAGCAGTGCTTTCCATGCTTATCTTGGTGGTTGAGTTGGAATAATCAGGGTTTCAGCCCTTACTTAGATACCAACTGTGCTGGAACTCGAGCAAGGGATTTGAAGTTTCTGTTTCAGTTCTCTCATCAGATATGATTAAGAAGAAGGAAAAAAAAAAAAACAAAAAAACAAAGCTTTACAGCCTACATGACTGAAAACCAGCCACTTGGCAAATCCTCATTGGTATCAAAATACTGTATATTTTTGTATTGTGCCTTACAATTATTTGTCAGTTTTAGAGCTAACAATAGTAAGGCTCAAAATATAAGATAGGGGATCTTTTGAAAAGGAAAAAAAAAAAAAAAAGTAACCCAAAAGATTCATCTAGCTAAGAACTGGTTATTAGTATCTCCCTGTGGAAGACTTTACCATGTTAAGATTAAGGTAGAAGAAATTTTGACTTGTAAAATTCATTATTTTTTTTTATTTTTTGAGACAGAGTCTCACTCTGTCATTCAGGCTGGAATGCAGTGGCATGATCTTGGCTCACTGCAATCTCCATCTTCCAGGTTCAAGAGATTCTCCTGCCTCAGCCACCCGAGTAGCTAGAATTATAAGTGTGCGCCATCATGTCTGGCTAATTTTTGTAGTTTTAGTAGAGACAGGGTTTTGCCATGTTGGCAAGGCTGATCTCTAACGCCTAACCTCGAGTGATCCACCCGCATCTGCCTCCCAAAGTGCTGAGATTACAGACGTGAGCCACTGCACCTGGCCAAAATTCATTAAATTCTTTTATGTATGTATTTTTTGGCACATGATTTATTGAGACATTGGTAAGACAGACTTTAGTGGGAGGTGCCTGTTGAAGGAAGTTTATTTTAAATCTTTTTCTTCTGATTGCTGGGAGTGTGGTAGAAGTTAATAAAACTTAGTATCTCAGTGTTAGCTGTGAAAGCCCAGACAAAGGGCTGCCATGTTGACAATCTTGGCTTAGGGGTTTTATTTTTTTAAACATAGGTTAAACAAATTAAGATCATTGTAGGTCATTCTTAGTGTAAGATTTAAGTGTACAGTGTGTTTGTGTGTGTGAGAGAGATACACACAAACCCACTTCAAAGAAAAGGAGAATTCCTTTTGGAATGGACATGAGCCATTTGAATCAAAGAACAGATTGCTAGATGTTCACTGGATGTCTTCTCCAAGCTTACTGAGGATGTGCTTATGTCCCTGGGAACCCTGTCCCAAATTGAGTGGTAACACGTAATTTATTTGGGAAAAAAAGACACCATCCATCCTGCTCTCACACTGATTTTGTCTGAGGCTTTAATGAATTCACAGCTCCTGCAGTTTATCTTCTTAAAGTGCCTGTTGTGTGTGTGTGTGTCATGACATGTACATTGTTCTGAGACCAATGGGTGTGTCCCTCATTGTTTTCTCTGCTGTCCCTTTTTCAGAAGTGCCGATAATGACGATGCTACTAAAAGGAAAGTCAACTTGGTCTTTGAGAAAATCCAGACCTTAAAGTCTCGAGCAGCTGGGAGTGCACAAGGAAATAACCAAGTAAATGGAAATTTTGTATTTTGTGGAGTGCAGTTAGCATGGAATGTGGTAAACAACTTGCTGTTTCTTCAGTCTGTATGTTTGCTTATAGCAGTAAGTGGGACATTTCCTGAGTAGTGAGGAGTACTCCCCATGTTTTAAATGTTCATTTGCACCCAACCTTTTTTATTGAGACGGAGTCTCTGTCTGTCACCCAGGCTGGAGTGCAGTGGTATGATCTTGGCTCACTGCAACCTCTGCCTCCTGAGCTCAAGCTATCCTCCCACCTCAGCCTCCCAAGCAGCTGGAGCTACAGGCGTGTGCCACCACACCCGGATAAGTTTTGTGTTTTTAGTAGGGTATGGGTTTCACCATGTTGCTCAGGCTGGTCTTGAACTCCTGGGCTCAAGCAATCCACTCAACTTGGCATCCCAAAGTGCTGGGATTACAGGCATAAGCCACCATGCTTGGCCTTACCGTACAGCCTTTTTTCCAGAAACGTTTAAAGATATTTTATTTAAAAAAACATAGACTATAATAGGATGATAAAAACAGATGGCGAGATTTAGAAGGGGAAAATAAGAATAAGAGGACTAGCATTGTTGTCGGCAAACGCGGAAGGTAAGTGTGAACAGGCGTGGACCCAGGCTCTGGAGCTTCAGGTGTGAAAGAGAATGGGACTAGAGACTGGTGACGCTGACCAGCTGTGGCGCAGGGGCCAGGAAAGAGCTCAGTGAGTGCCAAGTTAGTTTTTAAATAACTGCCTGTCTGATTGATTGTGCTGAATTTGAGTGGGGACATAGAGGTTTTTTTTTAGGGAGAGAGCCCTCTCACGTTTGATAAAACAACTACTGTATGTCAGACACACCTGGTGCCCTGGAAGTAAGCCGCTCTTAAGAGAGTACGGCTGTACACTTGTTCCTCAATCCTACACCACCTTGTGTAGAACTCATTTCCTGCTTGTCCAGCTTCCTTTCCCCTCCCAGGGGAATTCTGCATGGGAAGGAAAGAGGAAGATACCTGGAGGCAGGTAATAGGAAACTTGTCTAGAGCTTCTGTCTAACTTGGGAAATGTACATATAGGGGATAATTTTAGGCATCACCCTACCATCTTTATACTTGTTATTCCCCCGGCACTCAGCTAACCCATGACGGCTGCGCTGACCTCAAATAGAGCAATGCCATACACACACAGACACAATTCCTACTGGGGAATCTTTACACCATACTCCTTGCGTATACATAGACTTGAGGAGCTCTACATAGTTCTTAAAGTCAGTCCAGTATTTCTTTGCTAAAACTCTGAAGTCCAAATTATCAACACGATTCTTGTTTTTTTGTATACCTGCATACAGGCTATGCACAGAGAGTGAGGTGGAATCTCACTGGCTGTTATAAAGCAATATAAAGGGTCTTGAACACAGGAGCTTAGGGTATAACTTAGCAAACAGATGAGTCTTCAACAAATATCCTTTTAATATTATTTTATTGGAGTGTAACTTATATAAAGTAAATTACCCAAATCGTATCGGTACAGTACATTGAATTTTTTTTTTTTTTTTTTTTTTGAGACAGAGTCTCGCTCTGTGGCCCAGCCTGGAGTGCTGTGGCGCCATCTTGGCTCACTGTAAGCTCCGCCTCCTGGGTTCACGTCATTCTTCTGCTTCAGCCTCCTGAGTAGCTGGGACTACAGGCGCCCGCCACCACGCCCGGCTAATTTTTTGTATTTTTAGTAGAGACGAGGTTTCACCGTGTTTGCCAGGGTGGTCTCGATCTCCTGACCTCGTGATCCGCCCGTCTTGGCCTCCCAAAGTGCTGGGATTACAGACTTGAGCCACCGCGCCCGGCCGGTACATTGAATTTTTAACATAGCTTTGCATCCATGGAATTGTCATCCCAATTAAGGTGCAGAACACTCCCATCACCCAGGTTTCCTGGGTTTCTTCCCCATCAATTACACCCCATACTTCTGGAGGTAATCATATCCTGACTTCTATCACCTAGAGTCGTTTTGCCTCTCTTGACTTTTATATAAAGAAAATTTCATAATGTGTATTCTTGTGTGTCTAGCTGCATTTCCTCAACATTATTATATCATCAAGATTCTTTTTTTTTTGAGAGGGAGTCTCGCGCTGTCGCCCAGGCTGGAGCGCAGTGGCCGGATCTCAGCTCACAGCAAGCTCCGCCTCCCGGGTTTGCGCCATTCTCCTGCCTCAGCCTCCCGAGTAGCTGGGACTACAGGCGCCCGCCACCTCGCCTGGCTATTTTTTTGTATTTTTTAGTAGAGACGGGGTTTCACTGTGTTAGCCAGGATGGTCTCGATCTCCTGACCTCGTGATCCGCCTGTCTCGGCCTCCCAAAGTGCCGGGATTACAGGCTTGAGCCACCGCGCTCGGCCGAAGATTCATTAATGTTGCATATACTGGTAGCTTTTTTGGTATCGAAATGTAGTTTTCCTTTGTATCTGTATAACACAGTGTGTATTCTTGGTGTACATTTCTGGTTTGGGGCTATTAGGAATAAAGCTACTATGAATGTTATTGTACTTTTTTGTGGAGGGGAGTAAACACTTTCACTCATTTCTCTTGAGAATATACCTAGAGGTAAAATTACTGAGTGGTAGGTTAGGCGTGTGCTTAACTCGTAAAGTATACCTGTTTGTTCTTAGAGCGAGTGCGGCCTTTGGCCTTGATGTTGAGATTGTCCTTGTGGGCCATAGACTAGGGGTGACCAGCCTGAACTGGGGAAGTCAGGGTAGCCCTTCTAGAGACAATGACACTAATGCTGCCTCAAGAAATCATAGAATTATTTGTGAGAAGAAGGGAAGCTGGGGTGTTCTAGGTTAAGTGAATAGCACAGACAAATATAAAGAGGCATGGGTTTGCCGTGTTAAAGAGGGAATGTAGTGTAGTGGGAGCACAGAGCCAGGATGGGCAGAGGAACAGCCTGGTAGCAAGGACCTTGGAAGTTATGTAAGAAGTTTCCATTTCAGGCTGTGAAGGGGGTGGGTTGCCATTGTTGGATTTTAAACAGACGTGAATACCATTGTGTTTGTGAAAGTTTATTCCTTTTGCAGCTTTTGGAGAGAGGTAAGATTAGAGGAAGAGAGACCACATAGAAAGCTAATGCCTGTCTAGGTGTGGTCCCTCACGCCTGTAACCCCAGCACTTTGGGAGACCGTGGAGGGAGGGTTTCTTGAGGCCAAGAGTTGGAGACCAACCTGGGCAATGTAGTGAGACCCTGTCTCTAGAAAAATTAAAAAATTAGCCAGGCATGGTGGCACATGCCTGTAGCCCCAGCTACTCAGGAAGCTGAGGCAGAAGTCACTTGAGACCTGGAGGTGGAGGCTGCCGTGAGCTATGATTGTGCCACTGTACTCCAGCCTGTGTGACAGAATGAGACATTGTCTCTTAAAAACAACAACAAAAGAAGCTGCCAAATCAAGAGATGATGAAAAAATGAACCAAGGCTCTTAGACTTCGGGTTCCTATTACAGCTCCATGACTGTTTAATTGCCACATTTTCCTACTCCTCTTCCCTCCCTCTTAAGTTCGGAATCTGATTATTTGCTGGCAAAGGTTTTGGAGTTTTATCTTTGTGGTGTCAGTTAAGTGATTAGGAGAGAATGTAAAAACCTTCTCCCTTAGGGACGGAGACCATATTGGAAAACAGCAAAGCAGGTAGAGATTTTGTATGGGGAAGAACAATGTATAATTTCCCTCATTGGGTTGGATTTAGCGTTCTAAATGGATTGTTCTCATTTTGCCTATGAAAATTGGAAGTTGTGTGTTTGTGTTTCTAATTCTCTTCACAGGGGTAGGTGGGGAAGTACCTCATTCCAAATTTATCACACACAACTTGCACCTGGATTCAGGGACGTGTCAGCCAAGATGCTGCAATTTCTAGCTTTGATTCCTGCTTTTGTTTCTTCCCCTCAGCTATTTGTAGTTTTCTAACCACTTTACTGTAGGATTTTAGCCAAATCCTTTTGAGAGAATCATTGTGTTACTTTCATGGAAGAAGAAAAAAAAGAAGATCCATTAATATTCATACTCAGATCAGAGAGATAATATTTCCTAATAGACTCTCTTCAGTCAGGTCCCTCTTCATTATGGAAATGTAACATCTAAAAGGAGAAAGTCAATTTAGCTAACATACGCTTATTTATTACTTGCATACAGTCTATGCAGAGAGGGACGGAATCTCACTGGCGGTGATTGAGCAATCTCTAGTGTAATGCAGATTTCTGTAACAAATATATGTATAAAGGGTCTTGGGAACACAGAGGCAGGGGCTTTGGGTATAACTTAGCAAACAGATGAGTCTTCAACAAATATCTGTTTTTATATTGTTTTATTGGGTATAACTTATATAAAGTAAATTACACAAATTGTATCTATACAGTTCATACAATTTCTAACATAGGTTTGCTTCCATGCAAATACCATCTAGATCAAGATACGGAACACTCCCATCACCGAGGTTTCCTGGGTTTCCGGTGTTCCCCATAAATTGTACCCCCTCCTTCTAGGGGTAATCATATCTTGACTTGTATCACCTTGAGTAGTTTTGGTTTCCTGGGTTTCCTGTGTTCCTTCTACAAAAATTGTACTCCTTCCTTCTGGGGGTAATCGTATCCTGACTTCTATCATCTAGAGTAGTTTTGCCTTTCTTGAATTTTACATAAAGAAAATTTTACAATATGTATTATAATAAGTATTCTTGTGTGTCCCCCTTCATTTCTTCAACATTATATCCGCAAGATCCATTAATGTTGCATGTACTGGTAGCTATTTTGTATTGAAATGTAGTTTTCTGTTGTTATCACTCAACATAGTGTATATTCTTAGTGGTCATTTCTGGTATTTGGCTGTTAGGTATAATGCCATACTGAACATTAGTGTCTTTTTGTTTTTTTTTTGTAAACACACTCATTTCTCTTGAGAATATATCTAAGAGTATAATTTCTAGGTTGCAAATTGGGCGTTGGTTTAACTCTTAAATGTTGCCAAATGATTTTACAAAGTGATTGAAACAATTTACACTCCTGGTAGTGCTGCATGCCAGTTCCAGTGGGTATATCCTCTGTAACACCTAGACTCTCTTCCATTGCTTTGGTCTACTTGTCTCTCCTTGCACTACTACTGTACAGTTTAATTATTGCAACTTTAATAAGCCTTGAGATCTGGTAGCTTTATTCTTCTCCAAGGTTATCTTAGCTACTCTGGGTCTTTTGCCTTGCCATATAAACTTCTATCAGCTTGTCAATTTCCACCAAGAAAAGCCTCTAGGAATTTTGATTGGGATTATACCAAATGCATAGATAAATTTGGTAGAACTGACGTCTTCATGTTATTGGTATTCTTATTTGTGAACATGAACTTTCTCCCCACTTATTTATGTGTGCAGCATCTCTCAGCAATGTTCGGTCATTTTTGTTGGAGAGGTCCAGCACATCTTTCATTTAGATGTAGTCCCTTTTCAGTGCTGTTCACTCCTTTCTGTACTTCCGTGTTTCCATCTAGGAGTGATTTCCTTCAGCCTGGAGAACTTTTTTTTTAAATATCCTGTAGTACTTTCTGGGAGCATTGTTTGAGAATAGCTGTCATTCACTCTCAGTTTTGAGGAACTCTAGTGTGGCAAGTATTGTTTTGTTTCATGAATTTAAAGACATTATTTGTCTTTTGACCCCAGTTGGCTCCATTGGAAAGCCAGCCATCATTCTTAGTGTTATTCTCTTGAGAGTGATGTGTCTTTTCCAGCTGGGTGCTTTTAATATTTTATCTTTTTTGTCAATTGTTAGATTTTCACTATGACGTGCCTAAGAGTGATTTTTCTTTTATTTATTTTTCTTGGGATTCACTGAGCTCTCGACTTGACAGGTGCATCAGATTTGAAAATTTCTTGGCTATTATTTAGTTGAATATTGCTTCTTTCACATTCTGTCTCTCCCAGCTCTTCTCAGACTCCAATTAAATGTATTTTAGAAATTTTGATGGTGTTCCTCTTACCCCTTGTGCTCTATTCTCTCTCTTTTCGTGTGTGTGTGTGTGTGTGTGTGTGTGTGTGTGTGTGTATGTTTGGGGCATCAGATATTCTGGATGTTTTCTATTGACCTTTCAAATTCATTAGTCTTGTTTTCTGGCTATGTCAATCTTACTTTAAGACTTTTTCTTTAAAGGAGTCTTTAAAAGAATCTTTTTCTTCATCCTTCTTTTAAAGAATGGTTCTTTTAAGAACTTTTCTTTGGCCAGGTGCAGTGGTTCATGCCTGTAATCCTGACGCTTTGGGAGACTGAGGTGGGAGGATTGTTTGAGGCCAGGAGTTTGAGACTAGCCTGGGCAACATCGTGAGATCCCATCTCTACAAAAACTATAAAAATTGCCAGGCATGGTGGCTCGTGCTTGTAGTCATAACTGCTCAGAGGGCTGAGGTAGGAGGATCACTTGAGCCTAGAAGTTTGAGGTTACAGCGAGCTGAGATCCAATGAGTTCTTAAATTTCAGATATTGTGTATTGCTGTTTTAGAATGTCTACTTGATTATATTTTTATAGAATCTATCTCTGGAACTTGATTTAGAAAAATCCCTTTGTTGGGCCAGGTGCAGTTGTTCATGCCTGTAATCCCAGCACTTTGGGAGGGCAAGGTAGATGGATCACCTGAGATCAGGAGGTAGACACCAGCCTGGCCAACATGGTGAAACCCTGTCTCTACTAAAAATACAAAATTAGCCACGTGTGATGGTACACACCTGTAACACCAGCTATTTGGGAGGCTGAGGCAGGAGAATTGTTTGAACCCAGGAGATAGAGGTTGCAGTGAACCAAGATTGGGACAATGCACTCCAGCCTGGATGACAGAGCAAGACTCTGTCTGAAAAGAAAAAAACAAAAACAAAAAAACACCCTTTGTCCATAATTGTTTCTATTTTAAAAATGTTACAGTTAATTTGAAGTCCTTATCTGTTAACTTTAATATCTGGGCCATCTCTGTGTCTGTTGTCTATTTTATTTAGTTATTGGTTGGTTCTTCCTACTTCTTTGCATGTCCAATGATTTTTTTTTTTTAATTGTATGCTAGACCGAGTGGGTGACGATTAGTTATAGACGTTCTGGAATGTGTTATCTCCCCCTGAAGAATGTTAAGTTTTGTTTTGACAGACGGTTAAATTACTTGCAGATTATCTTGATTCTATATGGTTGGTTGTTCTAGGCATTATTGGGGAGTGTCTATTTAAGTTTTGGCCCTTACTACTAAGACATGACCCATGTTCCTTTCTTGGATTTCAAATGAATGCCAGAATGTCCACCAAGGTTTCTCTATTTTGGTCGATTTGGAACCCTAGTGTCTCCCTAGCATTGGGCTACCTGTGAAGTTTCTGTTGGGTTCTTTGCCTCCTAAAAGCTCTTCTCTGCAGTCCTCTTGAACTCTTGCTCTGCTCATATACAGCTTAGGAATCATCCAAGAATCCAGGGAGTATTTATTGTAGGTTCTCGGAACTTCTTCTGTGGAGCTGTCTCCTCTCTCATACCCTGATCTTGAAATCTCTGTTGCTTACCATCTCTAAACTCTAATCTCTGTTTCCTTCATCAGTGAGTTGCCACTCTGGACACTTTTCTCACTTAAATTAACAAACTTTATTTTTCAGGAGAGTTTTAGGTTCACATTCCCATTTACTGTCCTGTCCCCACATATGCCCTCCGCCACTGTTAGCATCCTGCAGCATGGGGTGCACCTCTCACAATCATGGAACCCACACTGGCACATCATTATCACCCAAAGACCACCCATAGTTTACATTAGTGTTCACTCTTAGTGTTGCACATTCTACAGGCTTCTGACAAATGAACAATGACATGTATCTATCATTTAGTATCACACAGAAGAGTTTCACTCCCCTAAAAATCCTGTGTGTTCTGCCTGTTTGTTCCTTTCTCTCCCCTAACCTCTGGCAACCCGTAATCTTTTTATTGTTTCCGTGGTTTTATTTTTTCTGGAGTGTTCTATCGTTGGAATCACACAGTATATCACCCTTTCAGTTTGGCTCCCTTAGTAATGTGCATTTTTTCCCATGCCTTTTGATGAACTGATAGTTCATTTCATTTTAGGATTGAGTATTAATATTCTATTGTCTGATATACCACAATTTATTCGTTCACCTTTTAAGGGCATCTTGATTGCTTCCAAGTTTTGTCAGTTATGAGTAAAGCTGCTATAAACATTCATGTACAGGTTTTTGTGTGGACATGAGATTTCAACTAATTTGGGTGAACACCCAGAGGGCAGCTGCTGGGTTGTATGGTAAGAGCATGTTTAGTTTTGTAGGAAACAACCAAACCATTTTCTAAATTATCTGTATTATGTTGCATTCCCACAAGCAAAGAATAAGAGTTTCTGTTATTCCACATCCTCGCCACCATTTGGTGTTGCCAGTGTTTTGAATTTTGGCCGTTCTAATTCGTATATAGTGGTATCGTTGGTTTGTCTGATTGTTTTTTGAGACGGAGTCTCACTCTGTCACCCAGTCAGGAGTGCAGTGGCATGATCTTGGCTCACTGCAACCTCTATTTCCTGGGTTCAAGTGATTCTTCTGCCTCAGCCTCCTGAGTAGCTGGGATTACAGGTGTGTGGGCCACCACGCCCGGCTAATTTTTTGTATTTTTAGTAGAGACGGGGTTTCACCACGTTGGCCAGGCTGGTGTCGAACTCCTGACCTCAGGTGATCCGTCTGCCTCAGCCTCCCAGGGTGTTGGGATTACTGCATGAGCCACCCCACCCGGCCTCAATGTTGTTTTAATTTGCAATTTCCTAATGACATTGTCTGTGCTTATAAAATTTTACTGTGTGATTTGGAAATGGAGTCATGGAGAACCCAGGGTGAATGTGGGGCTACCTCCTGTCTTTTCCTTTGTAAGGATCATAACTCTGTGTTGCTTGCTTTTCAGTGCCTGCCAACGATTGTTTTTATATATTTTTGTCTAGCTTTTGGAGTTTTTGCTGGGAGGGTAAATCTGATATTTGCCACTCTATCATGGCAAAACAAGAATTCTAACGATCATTTACTAAGATTTGATTAAATTTATGAGATGCATTGGGTTCTATAGATTCAGAGGTGCATAAAACCTAGTCCCTGTCCCACAAAAGTTCATAATCTCCTGATGTAGTCGTTCTCAAACCACTCTTAAGAAACACTAAAACTAAATTGTGTTCTGCCATTAAAATAGAAAAAATGAATGTCTTTCCCCAATTTACTTACAAAAAGATTTTGTTGCTGATTTTTTGCTAACCATTGATTTCCATGCTCTGGAATATAGAATTTATTATGGAGAGGCTTTTTAAGTTTTATTATCCTGAATTTAATGTATTACTGTTTTATAATGTTCTACAGAATACATTACGGACTTCTAACAAATATGCCACCTGTGCAAGTTTTAGTCGTATTGGACTAGTGTTGAGGTACCTGATGAAATGATGCCTGTGATTGGTAAATGCTGTAGAGTAAAGTTCACTGGAGTCCCAAGGGGACCAGCAACGTTAACTCTGCCCATCAAGTCAGGGAAGGTTCCCCATGGGGGTTGATGTTTGAATTGGGTCTTAAAATATTTAGTGTTATGCCTCATCTGTTACTGCACTAATTATATTTGGAAGGGGAAGATAATTAAAATAAAGCACGCTGAACGTTTAAATTAGTATATCTTTGCAATTAATTATAGGCTTCTAATTCCACATCTGAAGTCAAAGATCTATTGGAACAGAAAAGCAAGTTGACCACAGAAGTGGCTGAACTTCAGAGGCAGCTTCAACTGGAAGTCAAGGTATCTGGTTTTTCCTTTATGTTACTTTTTCCATTTCTGTCTAGGTTGATGAAGAATATTTTACATGCATTGGGATGCCCAGAGTGAAAGCCAATTTTTTTCCCCCCAAAAGTAACATTCCTCTAGTCACTGAGTAAATTCCTGTGTATTTGGCTGCTGTTGTCCAAATAATTTCTTTTTTTTTTTTAATGTAACCAAAGCCTGTACAGACTGTTTGCTTAGACAGAGTAAAAGAAACCCTGTTGGATTTAGGCAGGCCAATGGGAAACTAAATGTGTATAAAACATCTGAACTAAATCATAGAAATAGCAGAATGAGGTTTGGCTGTGTTTATGTTTTCTTTTACAAGTATTACAGTTCATTAAATATAAATATTTGATGTTCTTTCTAGTTAAGAACTCCCATGCCTTAATTATATAGTTTGATTAAGTTGTTTAATAACGTAAGTGCAAAGATACGGAGTCTGCTTGTTGAGAAGTAGGCTTCTGTGGGGTTACGTTAATGTACAGTGGAGGTACTTTAAAATCACACTGATTCCTGTTAGAATCAACAGAACATCAAAGAAGAGAGAGAGAGGATGAGAGCAAACCTAGAAGAGCTCCGAAGCCAACACAACAAAAAGGTGGAGGAGAACTCCACGTTGCAGCAACGACTGGAAGAAAGTGAAGGGGAGCTCCGGAAGAATCTGGAGGAGTAAGTTCTGGGCTGAGAGCCTGTTGCCCTTCCCAGGTTCTCTATGACGTGTGGCTAGAACCTTGCTGTCCATTTAATACTACCCAGCCTTCCAAATATTTATAAAGGCAGCTGACTTTTCTTTTTCTTCCTCTTACCCTGGTAAAATTGTGAAGCTGGCGACGCATGTAGACTGATAAACAAAAACGTTAGTAATTCTTAACATTCTTTGTGCACCTTGAAGTATCCCTTACAGAGTTTCAGCCCTTAAAGTGGACCTCCTAGCAGGTAAGTGGGAAGCAGGGCGCACTGAGTGCTGGTATTGAAAGACAGAGTTCAAGGAGCCTGGGCCCAGCTTCTAAAAAGCAGGCGTCACGTGGCCTCCGTGAGCTCTCAGCCTGTGCATTTTATCCTGGATGGTGCTGGTGTTTGCGATGGCTGCTTATACCTCCTCTGAGTCTACAGAGAAGGAAAGTTAGGTCCAAGATGCCCCTGCCATTGTGTTGTATTAAAATCTGTGGCAAAGGGATCGAAAGCCAAAGTCTGAGAATCCACAGTGCTATGACGTCCCGTGGACACAACAGAAGCCTTAAGTGGAAAGTCAAGTGGGAATGAAATCTAAGGGGAAGTTCAAGAAAAAGAAGACATTATATAATAAAAGCATTTGATTGTCCTTGCAGTTTTGATGGTGCTGTTTTGCGTTTAAAGCAATCATAGAGGCTAACTGCAGAAAAGAGTTTAGTAAGAAAAATATCAGAAAATATAGGGTATAGTAAAAGCTTTACAACATAAAGAGGTATAGTAGTTGTGAGTTTGGTTCAGAGCAGAGTTTTGTAAACTTTTTTTTCATCAGGTATTGATTATTTTAGGATTTGTGGGTCATGGAGTCTGTTGTACACACTCAGTTCTGCCATTGTATCGTGAAATGAAATGGCTACTCATAAATGAATGAACATGACCATATTCCAGTAAAACTTTACAGTAACAGGCAGTGAGCTGAACTGGCCCACAGACCGTAATTTTTCCAACTCTCCTGGTCTAGAACACTGGGATAGTAGACAGTGGAAGGGTGGGGTGGCTTTAGTGTGAAAATTTTTTTTTTTCATTTCTTTATCTTCTACATTTAAATTCTAGTATCCTACCGTCTCCTTTTGGGGAGAAAATGTCTCCGTATAACCATACCCACTTCACTGGTTTGAGTTCTCATTTATCCTCGTGTTGGGCAATTAGACCGTAGCCTAAGTTCTTCTTAGGCACCTTTTCAGGTTAGTGATTCCTTGCTCAGTGCAGAACAGAGAATGGGGAAGCCCCTTGGGTCTTTAGAGACTTGTGTAAAGCTCTGGAGATCAGAAATCAGACTGGATAGAAATAAGCAGAGCCCAGGAGATCCTGTCTAATGGACTTCCTTCCTTGCCAGGCTATTCCAGGTGAAGATGGAACGGGAGCAGCATCAGACTGAAATCAGGGATCTCCAGGACCAGCTCTCAGAAATGCACGATGAACTGGACAGTGCAAAGCGATCAGAGGACAGGGAGAAGGGAGCTCTGATTGAGGTAAGTGGGGCTGTGGGGTCAGGTGATAAGACAGACCCCACCTGCCTGGAAAGATGGAGTGGCTGGGGTTTGTGCACTGCCAGCCACTGTCTGATGTGCACCCCTGCTCCACCTGTGCTCTTATGATCTGTGAGTCAGTGGATGCGCTTGACTCTCTCCTCTGCACTTGGCATTTGCTAATTATTATGGGTTTTTATTGTGTATTCTCTCTTCTCTAAATTAGATTATTATCTTGTTGAGGTATTAGATACACATGTATGAAATTATTAGAAAGCAAGAATGTTGGTTTTGAATATCTACATTTTTGGGGGAGGGAATAAGTATAATTGAGGGTCAGAAAAAGATAGGACTTTTCTCTCTGCACACATTTAGGTGTTTAATGTTTGCGGTTACATTATCATCACCTGTATTCTAGCATAGTTTTGGAAACTACTTCTTTATAAGCGTGGTTTGTAGGAATAGCCCAACAAAGAGATGATATACAATTTAGAGCAAAGCCAACAACAACAACAACAACAAAAAGTCAAAACATAAAGGTTCTTTGTTAATATTTAATTTTCTACTTCCTCCCTCTTTGGGCTTAGGTGTTTTCTCTGTCCCTTCCTTGGGGCTAGAAGTTTCTGACTCTGAAGTCCCTGGAACACTCTTTAAGTCTCAATTGTCTACTGTTCTCTCACTCCTTTCCTCCTCCAGTGTTGAAATAATTCCCCAGGAGAAATTTTAGGTCCTACTTTTTAGAACTTAGCCTTTCTTCACCTGATGACTTGGCAGGAGCTCAGAGATGAGTGACTGTGACCACCCAGCCCAGGAGTTCTCATGAATCCATTTTTCACACGGGCAGAGGAGGGTGATTGTCTCTTCTCCGCACATGACCATCTCTGTGTCCCTATTCAGACCTTTTCCCCTGAGAAGCCCTCAGCATTGTTCCTTACCAACTGGGATTCCTCTTTTTATCAAATGATTCCTTAAAAACCACCACATTCTTGGTATTATACTGCTTCTCATGGCGCTGTTTACTTTCAGGGCTCAGAGTTACAAAGACAAGAAGATAGGTGTATTTATCACTGAAATAATATTAAAACAACATAAAAGGAAAGTTTAAAAATGGGACGTACACATACTTTCCTAATACCTAAGCAGCCATTTTTGTTTCTAGAATTTCTGTTTGCCTCCCTGTCTATTGATAGGTTTCATCTACCCATCTGTATATAATATAGGGACAATCATGTCCCTACAGTTTTGATACCTGCTTTTAAAACTTAAGATGTCAAAAATGTTCTTTCTTGTTATTCTTTATATTCTTTGTATTTCATTTTTAGGAAGATAAACCGCAATATATTTAACCATTCTCCTACATTTGTTTTCCCTTTTTCGTCATTATGAAACAAAGGTCGTGGGGAACAGTTTTTACATTTATCCTTTTACTACTTTAAAAATTGTTTCTAAGGATAAGTTTCCAGAAATGATGTCACTGAACAATTTATGGCTTTCAGTAAAAGTATAGCTTCATGAACAAATTTAAATAGAAGATAAAACGTTGTCATATTCTGTGATTCCTTGTGTGGACATTTGATTGGTTCTAAAGGGGAAAGATGTTATGTTAGCTCGTGGGAAGTCTCTGAAGTTGCTGATTTTCCCCAATAACTGACAGTTGTCACTGTGAGTTGCCCCCGATATCCCCTGTCCTTTCAGTTTCTCTATTTTAGCTCATTGACCTCGCACATTTTTTGTATCTTTCTTCTACTAGCCAGCTAATTCAAGAGCATTCACCTTTGCTTCTTTCCCCATTTCATGTCTAGCACAGTGCTGAGCAACAGAGCAAATGAATAAATAATTTTTCATATTTAAATTACTTTAAAAATATCACCATGTTTTAAAAAAGAGAATAATTCTGAAATGAACTGCATACTTCTTTTCCTCTTTAAACATACCATACTGCATATCTATTAACTGAACATCATTAGTTTATTGATTTATTTATATTGATAATAGGATAATGATATGAGACTATTTTGGTGATGTGTTCAGGCAGAGGCTGATAATGCGAGATACAGCAGTGGGCAATAGCACATGTTTTCTTAAACCTGTTCCTGATGTTGCTGGCTTACAGGTTGTTTGTCTCTTTCCCATAACAGGAGCTGTATCATTTACTGCTGCCTTTCTGCAAGATGAGTTAGGGTGTAATTAGCTTCCCTATTGCAAAGTGGGTTTCTCTTGCTCCAGAAAATCACCCTCTGTTTTTATCAATTTCCTTTGACTTGTCAGCAACACTTAAACTATGATCTATGGTTTCTGTATCACTAGTAAAATAGACCCTGTCTCCTTGTCACTTTTAATTTATTCTTCATATCTGAATAAAAAGTGACCTGGGGGAATTTGATAACGGAGTATAGTTGTGGCCAAGTTCCCCATGGCATTTAGCTTGGAACAAACTCTTAACACAATGAGCATTAAACACTTCTGCTTTTGAATGTTCGAAAAAGGTTGAAGGCCCAAGTTTTGCAAGTCCTGCATAATGGACCAGATTTTGCATGAAATATCTTTTAATATGTCACATTTTGTTAAATAACACTGGACCCCTGTATGCAATCAGTAAAGTAGCATTAAGAAAGAATAGGCTGCTCTGTCTATGGAGTAGCCATTCTTTTGTTTCTTTACTTCTCTAATAAACTGACTTTCACTTAAAAAAAGAAAAAGAATAAAACAGTTTAAAAAAAAAAGGAAGGGAGAAATAGTAGAAAATACTTTGTTTTCTTAGAATAAGCCATAAAATTGACCAACAGTGGGTTGACTTTGTTATTCTTAGTTAAATAGATGATTCTGAAATTTTTTTTTGCCAACTCAAGTTACAAGAATGATTATAGAACAGGTTTCCACCACTTCTTTGTCATGAATGCATTACCTTCCATTCTGAAGGTGACAGGTCAACGTGAGACAGCTTGCTAAGTGCCACGATGGTGGGGTTTTCTAATTATCAAATGTCTGCTTTGATGGGAGCCTGCAGTGCTGAGAGATGGGCCTCATTCCAGCAGCCTTGTGGTGTTTTATTCCTGGCATTTGCCAAGATGCAGGTACTTCAGTCTCATTAAAATAGTCTGGTTATAAAATTGTGTTGGTCTGAGGAGAGATTGTGCTCAGAAAGTATGTCTCTAAAACTTCTTTTGTAATGATATTTTTGAACATTCTACACATTTTTATAAAAAAGGCAGCCAAAAATATCGTGATTCTCACCAGCCGTGTGATGCTTCCTTGGCCATCCTTCTGGAACAAAAAAATGACAGAATTCTCTGTCAGCTACCGTTGCTGTAAAACCTTTTATTTACGCTTTCAGTGAGCATGGGCCAGAGATAGGGACCCTGTGGAACTTCTGAGAAGCACTTAATGCAAAAGAGGGTCTAGACTGGTGTCTTCCTCGTTTTGATGTGTCATGCTCATGCCCAGGTGGTGTGCGAAGTAAAACTTCTTGTGAGCAAATACCTTGCCATTCTGGATGTCCTCGTGCCTGCTTCTCAGTGCACATGGTCTTGGGGTGGTCATTTGCTGCTGCTGCTGCTGCAGAACAGCTGGTCCCATAGTGTGTTCCTTTTTCTCTTAGATCTCCATCTACCCGTTTCTTCAGGCTCTGATTGTGTTTCTTTGCTTTAGTTTAAGAAGGTGGACTTCCTTAAAGGGCCTTCCAGCCAAACACAGTGCTCTTGTTTTGGTGGCATCTGTATGAGGCTGTTTTCATGCTGCTGATGAAGACATACATACCTGAGACTGGGCACCTTACAAAAAAAAGAGGTTTAATGGACTCACAGTTCCCTGTGGCCGGGGAGGCCTCATAATCATGGTAGAAGGCGAAAGGCACATCTCACATGGTGGCAAACAAGAGAAGCAAGAGCCAAATGAAAGGGGTTTCCTGGCTGGGCGCAGTGGCTCAAGCCTGTAATCCCAGCACTTTGGGAGGCCGAGACGGGTGGATCACGAGGTCAGGAGATCGAGACCATCCTCCCTAACATGGTGAAACCCCATCTCTATTAAAAAATACAAAAAAACTAGCCGGGCGAGGTGGCGGGCGCCTGTAGTCCCAGCTACTTGGGAGGGGAGAATGGCATGAACCCGGGAGGCGGAGATTGCAGTGAGCTGAGATCCGGCCACTGCACTCCAGCCTGGGCGAGCGGGACTCCGTCTCAAAAAAAAAAAAAAAAAAAAGAAAAGGGTTTCCCCTGATAAAACCATCAGATCTCGTGAGACTTACTGCCATGAGAACAGTATGGGGAAGCCACCCCATGATTCCATTATCTCCCAGTGGGCCCCTCCCTCAACATGAGGGAATTATAGGAGCTGCAGTTCAGGATGAGATTTGGGTGGGGACACAGCCAAACCATAACAGCATCTAATGGATGAACTCCAGTGTGACTGTTTGCTTCTCAGCCTTCTTGAATGTGTGGTTTTGTGGTCAGGTCTGTAGTGACCATAGTGAAGGGAAAGGGCATTAGGACCCATCTGGGTCCCATTCTTGACTCTGCTGCTTGTAAGGCTGTGTGATCTTAGGCATGTTAGAGTCTCAGAGCTTCATCCATTTATGGAGAATAGTAATCTTCATCTCCTTGAATATCCATCTCTCTGGATTGTTAGAAATGCTCAGCACAGTTCTTATGATGCATAAGGACCAAACACAGTCAACTTTCCTAGCTCTCGCCACTCCCAGACAGCCAGTTTTCCCTTGTTTTCTTTAATTGGAGTCCACAGAGAGGCAAGTTGACCTCTAATGGACGTATACTTACATTTTGAAGTTTATGTATTTTTCTCTCCCTTCTTTGATTGATATAATTAAGCCCCGAGGTGATGGAGTGAAGTTTTTGAAACCTCATGTACCTTTTGGTTTCTACTCTGGAAAACTTCAAGTGCTACTGCGTGATATGGCGAGGTGTAATCTGATTGGATTTGTCCTGCACAGTCCACTTAAGCGACAGCCCCAGCCATAGATAACAGCATGTCGGTGCAGAATGGACCATAAAAACTTCAGTCTTGACATGCATTGGCAGCAGCACACAAAGGCAACACAAAACACAGAGATATGCTGGAAAAGATAAGTGTGGGGAGAGGAACTGTCTTATCGTCCAAACAATTGAGAAACGTGTGAGAGTAAAAGCAGGAAACAGGGGTCAGAATCACAGGGCCTGCACTAAAGATGCTGGCAGGAGGTTCCAGGAAGCCCTGGTGGGTAGCCGGAAGCAACAGTCATTCAAGAGAGACTCTGATCTTCCTTAAGAAGGGGCTGGGCAGCGGCAGCAGGGCGTCCTCTTTGATAAATATCAGGACAGGGTATATTTTCATAAGATCTCTGTGTTTGCTGCTTTGAAAGAGCCAGAGCTGGCCTTGTTACTTGCATGGGTCTCTTGACATTTCGTCTGAGCTTGTCAATGCCTGCTAGTTAGATTCTGGATGAGCAAAATCTTAGTCTGTGCAATGCAGCCCTATCCTGGGATTGTAGAGGTTCCTGTGGTTCAATGGAGGTGCATGTCCTAGAGAAAAAGAAAGAGATCTCGTTGTCAGTTATCCTTAAATCCATAAAATGTTTCTTCCCTCATCAGGGACACACTTTTTGAATGGAAAGTAGCTTATCATTTCTGAAGCCTTGAGTCCCCAGGTGGCAGCCATGCCTCTGATTCCCCAGGGGCTCCAAGAGAACAGGTCCTGCCTGTTCTTATGCAGAAGCCACAGGTGAAATAACTGACGAGTTTAGAATTCTGACATCTCCAGATACCTGTACTGCACTTGTTTATTTATATCTGAACAGATAAGTGCTCCCAATATTAATCTATGCATCAAAAATATAATAGATCTGTATCTATCTTTCAAGAAGGATAAGTAGGGAAGCCAAATGCAGATTAGAAAAATGATTAAAATATATAGAATGTAAAATAAGAAGTATTAAGTACTGTGAGAAGAACAGCTAAAGTGAGATGGGTATTCAAGAGGGATATTCAAGGAAGACCTCTTGGAGGAGGTCATACTGTATCTGGGTCTTCAAAGATTTTCTGAAAGGCAGGGAGAGGTGGGCCTGAGAAGGGAAAAGGGCACTCCAGACAGAAGATGCTGCATGGATTGCCTTAGAGGCTGTAGGTGAGAGCCTGGATGCGGGGAGCAGCTGAGTGGCTATCGTAAACCACCTGCACAGGAGGTGAGGAGGGCTTTACCCAGGGAGGTGATGGAAAGGATTGAAGATGTTGCAGAACTAACTTTTTGGTTATGAGAGACCAGGACGAGAGAAAAGTCAAAGTTGCTGCCAAGTTTCTGAGCTTGAGTGCTGAGGGGGCAGGTGGTGCTTTTCACAAGAGCAAAGAACAAAGGAAGAAGGAAGGAAGGAGCATGATGAATTCTCTTGAAACTGTAATCCTACTGAATCTGAGGTGTCACAGGACACCCAGATGGGTGCATCTAGCAGGTCTTTGAATGTGTTAGTGCAGGTCTGAACTCAGAGAAAGGTAAGAGGTAAAAGTTTAGGAGTCATTTACATAGAATTAATAGTTGGAAAAACAAAAATGAGCTTGCTAAAAGAGGGTAAAGAATGCAAAGTTGCATTCTTGGAGATCATCATAGATTTTGGGAATAGGGAGAGAAAAACCAGAAAAGACTATCACAGAAGAAGCAGCCTGAGGGAAGAAAACAGGAGTCTGTGTTATCTTGGCATTCCAAGAAAGAAGGGCATCTTAGAGAGACAGGAAGGGAGGATGAAAGAGGGGTAAAGAAAATTGACGACTGGGAAAAGGCCATCGGATATGATTAAAGGTCACAGTTACCTCAGAGGGGACTGTCTTGGTAGAGTAGGGACAAAAATCATACAGCAAGAGATTAAGGAGTGAACGGGCAGTCATGAAGTAGAGGCAGTGAACAGAAATTATGCTTTCAAACATTTTGATGGTGAAGTTTGGCAGGTAACCAAGATTCAAGAATGTGGATAGGAACAAAATGGCAGAAAGAAAAGACAACTGTATTAGTCCGTTCTCACTCTGCTATAAAGACACTACCGGAGACTGGGTAATTTGTAAACAAAGGAGGTTTAATTGACTCACAGTTCCACATGGCTGGGGAGGCCTCAGGAAACTTAAAATCATGGCAGAAGGAGAAGTAGGCACCTTCTTCACAAGGCGGCAGGAGAGAGAGTGAGCGAAGGGGGAAAAGCTCCTTATAAAACCATCATATCTCGTGAGAACTCACTATCACAAGAACAACGTGGGGAAAACTACCCCATGATCCGATCATCTCCCACAGTGTCCCTCCCTCGACACGTGGGGATTGTGGGAATTATAACTGGAGATGAGATTTGGGTGAGGACACAGAGCCAAACCATGTCAATAACTGATGGAGTGAAGACTGGGAGCAGGCTGGCAGGGGACAGTGCATTCTCTGTGGAGGGACTCTGGGTGGAAGAAGGCCTGGAGTGTAGAGGGGTTGAGGTGGAGAGGGAGCCAAGGTGCCCACGTCTCTCTGGCTGAGGGAAGGGCAAAAGTGTCTGTGAGGGTGAGTCCTGAGCTGGAAAACTGAGAAGGTCTGGAACAAAGATGCTGGAGGAAAAGGAACGCCGAGCCTTTGGCAGGACACACTGGGCTCAGGTAATGTGATTTGTAGTGGAGCCTGTTGCCCCAGCTTTGTGACCTTCCTCATTAATACTTGGCAGTTAAGAAGGGGAAAATGTGAATATTGTGCTCTGCTCAGATGGGCAAATGAGATAGAAGAAAAACAGGCAAAGTCGTCCTGAGTACGAGGAATGTGGATGAAGGGTTTGACCACACTCAGTGTCCCAGGGGATGTGAAGCACCCAAATCCTGAGTACGAGGAATGTGGATGAAGGGTTTGACCACACTCAGGGTCCTAGGGGATATGAAGCAAGGTAGGCAAGTTGGTGTGTCCCCCATGAAGCAACAGCACACACAGGGCAAGGGCAAGGGCAACAGATCACTGTGCAGAAGTGAAACGAGATGGAAAATACAGACGTGTTTACCAAAGCAGTGAAATTTACATTAGTTTCCCCTTTCTCCCTCAAATTCAATCAAATCTCCAAGAAGCAAAGACAGAGGAATCCAAGGAAATGATGTCTTCTGAGAAATGCAGGGGAAGAGGAAGAAATGGTTTAAATAGGTTTGTGGGATGAGAAGGGGAGAGAGTGGCAGGGCAAGGTGAGATGGCCGTGCATATGGGGACTGAACTGGAGGGGAGATACGGGGCCTCTCAACAAGATGTTTCATCGTCACCTCCTCCCTTCATGTTTCTTCTCTCTAGGAGCTCTTACAGGCAAAACAGGATCTTCAGGATCTGCTGATTGCCAAAGAGGAGCAAGAAGACCTCTTGAGAAAGCGAGAGCGTGAACTCACTGCACTGAAGGGAGCCCTGAAAGAAGAGGTTTCCAGCCATGATCAGGAGATGGACAAGCTGAAGGAGCAATATGATGCTGAGCTGCAGGCCCTGAGGGAGAGTGTGGAAGAAGCAACCAAGGTGAGGGATGGGGCAGGAGAATCTGGCTTGGGAACAGATGAAAGGGTAAGACCCTCTCTCCCACACCACTGCAAATTCCCTTCCTTCCTTTTAATTAGAGAGTGAATCTCAGTTCATCAGATCATGGACACAGAGCTTATTAACAAAGAATAAACTCAATGGTCCTGCTATTGACCTTTTAAAGTCTATAAACTGAAACGTTGGTAGGGACATTGGTTAAATCCTATTGCAGGTGGGGAGATGAAGAGGCTGCAGATGAACACTTGAGGTTCTGCAGCCCATTGCAGAGTGGAGGGCTGTACTCTCCCCGACGTTCCTAACGGTCAGAGGCCGAGGGCATTGTGTGACCATGTTAATGGGCAGAAGTGTAGACAGGACCCAAATTCCTGGAATCCTTCACCCCCTGCCCTAGTCTGTTCCTTTTGATTTTGTGTAGCCTTTTGTTAGACAGTTCAGGTTCTTTTCTCAGCACAGTTACAAGAGGGTTAATTGGCTGAATTGCCCAAACCCTTCCAAGATAATTTTTCTCTTAATTGAATTCTTGGCTCCTACAAATGGATTCAAAATTATGCTGAAGTCTTTTGGGGCAGACGTCATACTGGCTGTTGAAGAAGAGAAAAACAGTATTTTGAAGGGAAAAATGGTTTGAAATGTCATGCCATCTTTAGGGAAAGAGGGGAATTACAGAGTATACAATTTTCAGAGACTTTGCAATATATAGGTTAAAAATGATGAAGAAAGAGCTCTTGATATTGTTTATTCTGTGGTGATTACAGTGACAGCTCAGAGCTAGTAGGCCCTCTCTCCCCTAAGCCCTATGGTGATTCACTGATTTTCAATTATGGCACAGTAATTGCAAATGACAAGAAGTGAAAGATGGGTTTGTTTGTTATAACAATAAAAAGTCTGGGAAATAGTCTGTTTGGGGTTATTACAACTTTGAGACCGTTTTTAAAAGCCTCTTGATGATTTCCCTATCTGATTTTTTTTTTTTTTTTAAAGATTTGACTGAATTTGAGGGAGAAAAGCAAAAGCGATTTAATTTTTATTGCTTTGAGGGGACATGTCTGTTATTTGCATCTCATTTCATTTCTGTGCAACAGCCTGATATCCTTGCGATTGATCTTTATGTGCTGTTGCTTCATCAGGTACATGCCAATAGGCTACTGAGTAAAATGATTCTCCTTTGGACCCATATCTTTATCACCCTTAAATCTTGCCTCAAAGCTCGACTTAATGTGGTGTATTCTGGGTGGCTCCTTTAAGGGTAGTTGAGAATAGTGTTGGGGGATATGTTTGTAGTGATTTAAGTATAAGGAAAATCAAACTTGTGCCTCACATGGGGTAGGGGCTATTTCATTGGAAGCTTCCAGGTTCGCGACTGTCAGAGATACGTAAGTGAGGAAAGGACACGTGGTAGGTGAAAGGATATCTTTGTTGTATGGAATTGAGATCATCAGTAGAGACTTACGTTACTGCGTTTTGACCCTTTCAAATGTCTGCATTATATAGTAACTCAGAGTATTTTCATTGTGCCAGTTCAAGAGCAATAACTACATTGACCCATATCAGTCTGTAAAAGCAAAACAGGCCAAGTAGTCAAGACGTGTGTCATTGGCAGGGAATGGACAGTTTCCGAGCACCGGGAAGCTAACGCGAAGGGGTTCGCCTTAGTGCCCAGTGGGGGTGTTGGCCAGCAAGGGCTCTGTTCCAGGCTGTTTTCTATACTGCTGCCAGCATCGTTCCTTAAAAAAACAAATCTGATCATGTCAGCCTCTGCTTAAATAACTCGCTTGACTCCCCATTGCCCCAGATTTCAGCTGAAAATTGTTAGCGTCGTAGGGAAGAAGTCCCTTCTCTGCCTAACCCATCCCCAGAAAACTCTGTATCTTTCAGACCTCTCACCTCTTCATACGTGTAGAGTGACTTGCTCCTACTTTGCCATCTGACCAGGCTCCTCTTCTCCTGCAAGACCTTCCCCAGATGTCTTCTCTTTTGTGAACACACCCTAGATACCTAAACTACCTTTGGTGCAGTTAGTTGCACCTTCCTTCACCTTCCTTAGGGTTTCTGTGGAACCCTGGCCATTCTTCTACTGTAGTTTGTGTCACACCCTATTATAATTTCTCATCTTGTCTGCTTCCTCCATTAGACTCGGCACTTCTTAGGCATGGGGGCACTTTTGTTCCCCCCTGCCCTTTTTTTTTTTTTCCTGAGAGGGAGTGACAAACTCTAGTACCTCTGGGGCCAGACAGGGAGCATAAATGAGTAAAGTGCTGCGTCTGTTGTTGGAATGATAGGAGGGTATGGTGAGGACTGTGACAAGCTGGCTGGAGGGCATGTCCTTTGCTGGAGGCTTCAGTGGCTTCTCTGCTCCAGCTTAGAGTTGCCAGTGAGGGAATGCTGGGCCCATGTTGCTAGATCCTTCATTTTTTTTCAAGAAGCCAGATATCTGTGAGATCTCCCAACTTTTAAGCATATCTTCAAATTACAAAATAAATAAATAAAGAAAATGACATAGACCAATACACCCCATATGCAAGTCAAAAGGCTGTGTTCTTACCCCCTTGAGCTCAGCATGGTGCCTGGGACAGTGTCTGGCAAGTGAAAGTTAGTTTAGGACAAATTTCCTTTCTGACTGGGTTTTCAGTCCCTGCCGTGTAGTTCCTGTTGAATTTTTTCAGTGGTGATATGGGAAGCCTTTTAGGGAACTCTGGTATTATTCTGTGAATTTCTGTGCCTTGCTTTTGAATTTCTCTGCACTTTCTTTCTTTCTCTTTCCTTCTTCTTTTTCTTCTTTTTTTTTTTTTCTTTTTGAGATGGAGTCTTGCTCTGTCACCCTGGTTGGAGTGCAGTGGCGCAGTCTTGGGTCACTGCAACCTCCGCCTCCCAGGTTCAAGCAATTCTCATGCCTCAGCCTCCCAAGTAGCTGTGATTACAGGCATGTGCCACCATGCCTGGCTAATTTTTTTGTATTTTTAGTAGAGATGAGCTTTCGCCATGTTGACCAGGCTGGTTTCGAACTCTTGGCCTCAAGTGATCTGCCCACCTTAGCCTCCCAAAGTGTTGAGATTACAGATGTGAGCCACGGTGCCTGGCTTCCTTGCAGTTTCTTAAAGAGGATCCTGATTGTGTTTTTTCACCATATTAGCTTTTGCTTCTGAAGGTGGCTCCTTAACAAATATGATAGAGTCATATTTTATGGGGGACAAATGTATCAATTTAGTAGATGGATGCTGTTTTTGGTTATTTATGTCTTGGTATTATCGAATGGAATCTTAAGATTATTGGAGGAGAGTGAATTAAATATAATTTTTAAATCTGGTAAATAATGTTTCTTAAATATGTGCTCTTACACTTAGATTTTTCCTGTCCCAGGGGGAGAACCCAGCCACCACTGTGGCTAAAAACTGACATTTTTTTTTTGAAATGGAGTCTCACTCTG